GTTACACTTCATAAATTATAATCGGACATTTCTTCCACTATATCAAAGAGCATAAAGGGATAAAGGATAAAGTCTTCGCCGTTGATCAATCCCTTTGTGGGATGCGGCACGCATTCTACTTCCATTCAGAATCGTAGTGGCTTATTGAATGCGATGTGGCCTATACAATGACTTGCGGTGGCCAGCCGATGTACAAGTCAGTGTTATTATCCTCTCAAACGAAACTCCTACCAATTTATGGGGAAGGGTAGAAGGCTTGGTTGGCCTGAGCGGGAAATCGACCGGAAGTTGACCGGAAGTCTACCAGGGATTCGAACTCAGGACCGCGCGAGTGGTGAGCGCGGTCCTGAGTGAATCCCTGGTCGACTTCCGGTCGTTTGAAATATAGTATATAAGGGGCACAGACTTTCGGTAGATCCTCAAACAGTTTACTGTTACGAAACGGTGCTGCTATGGAATTCCAGCCTATCGAAGCCAAGTTCGTCCCGTCACAGCGACAAGGAGGAGCCGACATAGCAGTAGCTATATTCCCGGACGACCACGAACTCTGCTATGAGTGGCACTACAGAAACGTCTTGCTGATGGACACACCTACCTCTACATGTGTTCTGGCTGCAGAGCCTTGAAAACGGCTGATCGACAGGCTCATCCGGACCCCATACCAATATGCCACATTTTAAATGGTCGTTTCATCACGGATCCCATACACCCACGAAATGATCATTTCTGTGAGCCTCGATCAACACCCAGGTCTTTCGCGCGGCGCCTTATAGTAGAACGGTGCATGGAAATCAGAGGAACTGAACCTGAAAGGCTGCAGCCACCAGCGGTAGAGGTAGCGGAGCTCCTCTCAAGAATCTCATCGGATAGATTCAGTGAGTTCGCGAAAAGCTCTTATGTTCTACATAAAGGTAGGTTTCCTGCATATGAATACCAACTACAAAGCTCAAACTTTTAGGGGACTTCACGGAGCCGGAGAGGCGCGCAATGGTCGAGCAGGTGATCCAGCCGACAGATCGCGGAAGGGATAAGACTCTACGAGTGATCTGTCGGGCACAAACGAGTGCTAGACGTAGGGCAGATGGAGACGTGACACCAGGGCAGCTTGTAAGCTTAGTAACTTCACAGCAACACCCATCCCACTCTTATTCCCTCTAGAAAATTACAGGATCCTACGAGCTGCAGGTGCCCCGCCGACCATGAGAGCTTCATTCTGCTCGACGAGCCCAACAGGGCGTACTTTGGTAGTCCATCGCTGATTGCAGCTGCGTTGGGGCGGCTAACTTTGACGAATGTCACGGTAAGCAAGATTCCATAAAAATGCCAACGATATGGAAGTGATTTATGCGCTCTCACCTTTTGCTTTTCAGTGTGATGGCCGTTACAAACAGATCCCGGCCCAAATGAGAAGGAGAGCCTCCTCCCAGTTTTACTCCCTTCTGGGTGTCTTTAATGATGGTGTTATCCCCTTGTTGTTTGTTGTTATCCCCTCGTTGTTTGCTTTCATACCAGATGGGACTGAGGAAACATATCGCCACCTTTTCGGCTTCTTCTGGAAGCCTTCTGGTCAACATCGGTCATCAAGGAGCAGTGTTGCCCCCAACGTGTACCTTCTTATTCGACTTCGAACAAGCCGCAATCAACGCGGCGACCATCGAAATGCCAATCGCAGTGAAGGGGTAAGAACACAATAATTGCGAAGTCACTCATAACTTTTCGCATGATTTCAGGTGCTTCTTCCACTACGCCCAAGCCATCCTCCGTCATCGAGACGTGCTGCGTCTGAAAGCGGCGGCAGCAAAAAAACCCAATAATTGGGACTTTCTTCCGCCGTATTCAGATGCTGCCTCTACTACACCCACAATTCCTCAGGATATCAGAGGCCCTCGTCGTCCCACAACCTCCTGTCATCACGCCTTTGGAGCACGCAGGGCTTCTCCAGTTTCTACGGTACTGGCATGACAACTGGGGAGCGGGAGGGCGATTTTCCGGGTTGTGGGACCACTCGCTCAACTTCGGAATACGGACCACCAATGTGGCAGAAGGTTTCCACACAAAAAAAAATACGGGCGACATTCCCAAGGGGTATCCCAACTCAGATCGAAGCTCTTGTTTATTCAGAGCCAGCTGGCCATTGGAAAGTCGCTCATTGCACCAGCAGAAGAAGGAGCTCGCGTGCTTTACGTCAGGCCACAGGAGCAGCAACGACAACAAGAAATCACTGCTGAACTTCGAAGATTCAGTGAAACCCACATTTCTCGTGGGGTCCCTCCCACCACGAGAGATTGCAAAGATTTCTTAGATTTTCTGGCTAGAAGACTGGCTCATTAGTTGTAACTAATCCCTCCTTATTGTTGAACTCTTACTTGTCCCTCAGTGTAGCATGTAGGATCTCATACTTGCCCATTTCTCTCACTATTTATTCTATGTTTAGTAGCATGTATCCGTACTATTACACTGTAAAAATATCCACTTATTGTTTTTTTTCTTGTACTCGCTCATCCTTCCCACTTGGTGCTCCCTTTTGAGGAATATGTTCGGTATTCGCATATATCCGCATGATCTATGCCGCAACTTATACTGGTTATAAAAGTTCTCTGATAAATGCAGTGTTATGAATCGCATGGCAGAACAAAACTCTTGGTCAATAGATCACCACCCCCTTTCATTCCCTCCCAGCTCTTGAACGAGAGAACAAATGCGCTGCATTCCCGTTGCTTTTGGATCTGTAAACGGTTAAAGATGAATGGCATGGTGATGGTTGGTGTGTTAAATATGGTTTAATAACATGAAGTTTTCATTTTAATCTTTTGTAGTTCCTTTACAGGCTGAATAGTGCGGCTTCACGGCAAGCATTCGTTTTGAATTCGAAGCGCGCGCGGCGCGCGCGGCTAGTGCGACAGTACATAGATCCGGAACGGATCGAAGGACGCCGCCTTCTAGAAAGTTCTGGCCCACTATATAAGCCTGTGGATCGATTAGTTGCTGGTTCTTGCTTATTGCCTGTTACCTCTTGCTCTGTTGGTTTTTACCTCTTGCATTATTCTTTGCTGTTCGGTTTGCCGTTACCTATAATAAACTCTTATTTTTTTGTGCCTGTAGTTTCTGTGGAACTCGGTCAATTCCATCCGTTACCTATATTAATCTCTAACTTGACCGGGATTGACCAGTGATTTCGCAGAAGCTAACCTGTTAACCTTCTCGGTTTTTTTTGCTGTCGTTCTTCTGTACTGCGGTGTCACGAGGCTGTCCTCGTGAATACAGTACAGTCAGTGTTGCTGAAGGGGAACAGTTGGCCCTGTGCTGCATTCCTCTCCCGAGTGACACGGTGGTTCTCGGTCCAGGTGACCAAAAATTTGGCGCGTAGAGAGGGGAACCTCTGCCCAAATTTTTTTTGAGCGACCTGAAGTAAGGACTGAGAACCACGATAGACTTGCGTCGTGACGTGATGGCTCACAGTTCCCGAGGAAGGGAAAATTCTGTAATTGAGGATATTACAGGAGAGCCAGAGGTCGAGATGTCCGTACCAGTGAATGTGGTGGACGAACCGGAGAAGGAGCGGCTTACGGGAGAAGCCGCAGAACCTCAGGTATGGCACGAGATTATTAAGAAAGTGAGAGCGATAAGCACGCATGTGACAGTTGAAGTAGCTAAGCACATGCGCACAAGTGATCCCAAGCGCGAAGCGATCGAAACCGTATGTAGGCAGCGGACGGAAGAGGCTGTCGAAGAGCTGAACCAGCTGCAACAGCAAGTTAGACAGGGCGCAGAGCTAGAACAGTGGGTAGCCACTGTGATGCTAAGTTTAGGTTGCAGCCAGCGCCCCAAGTTTGTCGAGTTAATCAGAGTTTTCGATGTGGTTCAGCAAGTGACAGTTGGAGAAGGGGGTAGAATAGATGACATAGTGGAGAAATGTCGTTCAGTTACAGCCCTCGAAAACCAACTTATGATGTTACAGGAGAAGCTGCGATCGTACGATGCGCAACTGGCCGAGTTGCAAGCTCTACGAAAGCGCTGTGAGAACCAGGAAAAAGAGTTGGAAAAGCTCCGCCAGCACCAGCGCAGCCCTGTGGATATGGAAATCGATGGTGAAAAGCCAGGGAAGTCAGGTAATAAGCGTACCGTTCCTAGCTTCGGCGAAGCTATGCAATATTTGAACAGATTGCAAAGTGGACTGACACAGCCTAAAGGTTCTTCTTTGCAGACTGGTGGACAAAGGCATGCCAGCGAGCTGGAACTGAGGTCAGTGGACGCGAACTCGAGCTGCTCACAACCTGGCGCCCCGAAGAGGGAAACAGGTAGGCTATCTTTTTGTACAGATAGCGATGTGAGCGAATGTCAAAGTAGTAGGGGTAGGAGAGAAGTGGCAAGAGAAGGTGCGAGTGCCCAAAAAGGGGACGATCCAGTAGCCCGCTACATGAGACATATGACCCTACCCGAGGTCCAGCCATACTCAGGGCAAGACTCGAACTACGGATTCGTGAGATTCTTGGAGGACTTTCAGCTAAAGTACCCCAGAACAAATTGGACAGATGCTGAGTTGTGTACACTTTTCCGCTCCAAATTGGTACATTGGTATTTGGAAAAGCGAGTACACTATATGAAGTCCCCAGCTATGAAAAGGATGGTGGATATGATGCGCGAATGTAAGGCCGAACAGCGCACGATTAAAGTAGTGGCTTTAGGAAGGCTAAAGAGGTTGAAGAAAAGGGATGGTCAAACTGTTTCGGATTTCTGTGTAGAGTTAGAACAGTTGACTCGTCAGGCCTATCCCGAACTTGATGAATACACGTTAGCTGTGGAGAGAGCCCATTTGCTGTACGATCAGCTATCGCATTGGCGCGATTCGTATTATCTTCTTGAGGCGTTGGAAAGCGAAGAAGACACATACGAGAAGCTCAAAAGAGGTGGCCAAAAGGATCGAACGACGTGACATGACCCTAGAACAGGTCAAAAACCCACGTACTGGGGAAGGGAAAGCCTTCAGTAAACCACCTCGTATTAGAGAACCTGATCTCAAAGAAAGAAAGAATGCGCAGGACCGGACTACTAGAGAACCTGACTTCAAAGAAAGAAGGAATGCGCAGGACCGTACTCCTGTGTGTTACAAGTGTCGCGAAGCAGGACATATGGCTCGCGATTGTAAGAAAACGAAAATATCTTCCAAACCAGGGTCTTCTCTGTCAACCAGAGTACGTGGAGGTTGTTGTATAACTGCGGAAGAACGTGCTACAGGATCCTCCCAAAGGCCACAAACGGAGAAAAGCCCGTTGTTTGGTAAAAAGATGACAGTGGAGCTAGAGCTACTAGGAATAAAGGCTCGGGGGTTGCTCGACACTGGGTCAGAGATAACTATCCTGCCCGGTAAAGTGTTGTTACGGGCGAAACGAGCTGGATTCGATATTGACCGAGCACTGGTGGAGCATGAGATTGACCAGACGAAACGGGTGTACGACGCGTCAGGTAGCGCGATGCAGTTTGTCGCAGTTCTGGAGGTCCCCATCCGTGACTGCTCCAGTGGACGTAAAGTTAGTGCGCTAGTTACATGTGTCAAGGGTAAAGGATGACATGGTTATCCTAGGCACTAACGTACTCCCAATGTTCGGCTACCAGTTGACTCGGGAAGGAAGACCACTCGATAACCCCACTAAAACGGAGACTGGTGCTTGGAATCTCCAAAAAGTGGTGTGGGTGCAATTAACAGGCTGTGACAAAGATGCAGATTGGCTGCTAGACTCAGGTATACAGCTGATTCACAGTGGAGTGTGTCATGTGAAGAAAGATGGCCTAGTCGAAGTGCCTGTCATAAACAGATCGTCTGCACCCGTGGTACTCAAAGAAGGTGAATCAGTGGGACAGTGGAAGGAATATCAGACCGAGTGGATAGAAGCCAGTGCGAAAGATATTCCCACTGACATGCTTACACTAGAAACAAGGAGGCTGTCGGCTCAACAGAGGTTGATGAAGCTAAAACAGTTCCTCAAGGAAAACCGCAAAGAGCGAAAGCTACCTGCGAGGTTATGGAAGATGATTAGAGATAATCATTCCGTTTTCGCAGTGGAAGATAAAGAGCTCACACAGACATCATTAGTGAAGCACGAAATCAAGACCGGAGATGCGGAACCCATCCGTCAAAGGACACGTCCGGTGCCCGTAGGTGCACGTAAAGAATTCAAGGAGATCATAAGAGGACTACTTGAGAGAGGTATTATAGAGCGCTCAACTTCTCCATGGGCTTCTCCTGTAGTCCTAGTGAAAAAGAAGGATGGTTCACTTCGACTTTGTGTGGACTATCGCGAACTTAACAAGCACACCAAGCCTGATGCGTATCCTCTTCCTGCGATTGACGTTATGTTGCAGAGTTTAAGAGGAAAACGGGTCTTCTCGTCATTAGATATGTGTTCAGGTTATTGGCAAATAGCGTTGTCAGATGACGCTAAAGAGAAAAGTGCGTTCACTACATCGGAAGGCCTATTCCAATTTACCGTGTTACCGTTTGGGTTATGCACATCGCCTGCTGAATTCCAACGGCTTATGGATCAAGTCCTAGGAGAGTTGAAAGACAAGGGAAGTCTTTGTGTATATCGATGACATTCTCATAGCCACGGACACGGAAGAACGCCATTACGAGGTACTGCAGCATGTCATGACGGCATTGAGTGAGGCTAACTTGAAGTTAAAGCCACAGAAATGCGTTGTCATGGAAAGGCAGATCAACTTTTTGGGCCACCTAGTTGACGCTGCAGGAATTCATGCGGACCCCGATAAGATTGCGAAGGTGCAAGCATATCCGAGACCAACCAACATTGCAGAGTTGAGAACGTTCTTGGGTCTATGCGGCTATTATCGGAAGTTTATATTGAACTTTCTCAAAGATAGCACAGCCTATGTTTACACTGACTAGTCAAAAGGTACCATGGAGATGGAGCGAAGAGCAGGAAGCTTCATTCAAGAAACTGAAAGAAGCACTGTCATCAACGCCCATTTTAGCCCAGCCTGACGTAGAAGGCGCAAGGGACGGTACGAAACCATTTATAATCTACACGGATGCATCTCAATTAGGCATCGGAGCCGTACTATGTCAAGAAGGAAAAGATGGATTTCTACATCCACTCTATTTTGCATCGAAAAGTCTAACCAAAGCCGAGCGAAGGTATCACATAACGGATACAGAAGCTCTCGCAGTGGTGTTTGCACTGAAGAAGTTCCACTTCTTTATATACGGCATGGAAGTCATAATCCGCACGGATCATCTACCTCTTACTGCCCTGTTCAAGAGAACAAATGTGTCCAGTCGTGTGCTACGTTGGGCATTGGAGATACAACAGTATCGTGTAAAAAAAATTCGAATATGTCAAGGGGAAAGCGAATCCCGTGGCCGATGCCTTGTCCAGAGGTGTCAACATGAGTGAACTTGAGCTGGACATCACTGACATAAAAGATGATCGAATCGTGTGCGCAGTTACTCCAAGTGACGGAACGCCGTGGTTAGAAGAGCTGAGAGATGATCCGGACTACAAATTCATCATTCAAGGACTCGAGTCAGGCCATCTGGAGGAGGAAGTTGCCTTACCCCGGATGGGAAAGAGATTTAAAGTTGTTGACTTTTCGCTGGAAGAAGGCGACTTGAAGTTAATAACCGAAAGTGGCGCAACAGTAAGGGTAGTTCCGAAGAGTAAGAGGAGAGAAGTCTTCGACGAAGCCCATCGAGGGTGCCTTGCTGGCCACTTTGCCGCTAAGAAAGTCCTACGTACGCTGAAAACTAAAGTATTCTGGGAAGGCATGGAGAAAGATGTTTTTAAGTGGCACCGGGAATGCCGAGAATGTTTTCTCGTTAACCCCAGGAGAAGTTATGTGCCACCACTGAAACCTTTCATTGCCGCAAAACCTTTCGAGATTGTCTGTATGGACCTCCTAGAGATGGGTTTGAGCGTAACAGGCATGAATATGTATTGGTCGTCATCGACCATTTTTCCAAGTGGATGGGCGCATATGCGATCCCAGACAAGAAGCTTCCACCGTGGCAGGTACCCTTTTTCGGCGATGGATTTGCGAGAACGGCCGCTGGCCGAGGCAGATTCATAGCGATCAAGGTACAGAATTCGCTAACAGCGTCATGGAGGAGCTGACGCTCGTATCTGGAATCACCTTTACAAATACAAAAGGTTATAATTCACGCGAAAATGGTGTCACAGAACGTGTGATAGGAACCCTGCAAAGAATGCTGAAGAAGAAAGTTGAGGTCGAAGATTCGTGGGACTCCATATTACCGCATGCGGTGTATGCATACAACGTAAGTCCTCACGAGGCAACCGGAGAAAGCCCTTTCTTCTTCATTACACGCCTTTACCCTTATGTACCGTCGAAGTTAGTACCTGAAGG